ATATATATATAAATGTATGTATGTATGTATATTCTTTGTCATGTTAAAATTGTTTTCCATTTGTTACCCCTGAGCTCTTGCATATCTTCTGCATTAATATGCCTGCAAGCGGTAAAATACTGGCCAACTTTATCTTGTAGCATATTGTTGTGTTTGGCTATGTTTATTTAGCAATTAAAACTTCAGTTTAGTCATGGCTGTTTTGATAGAGAGTATCAGCCTTAGCACCAGTTTCCGAAGAAAAAGTAATTCATGTCTCTGGCTATTGCATATGATGACCGTCAGGGTTCTTACTTCTTAGCCATCAATATCTCTGCATTTTCTAGAATGACATCATTTACAATTTAGCTTTCTTGGAGTCAAATTCACAATGTTTAACTTTGGTATCAGGACAATATAAGATTTCAACTCTGTGACTACCGACAACTACCCAGCACCAAGAAGTATGACAGAATAATATCTTGGTACGTTCTTTTGTCACCAACTTTTACCATTATAATACCAAACAAAAACCATAACTCAATTTGGTCATATCCAGTGAGATGGTTGAAGCTGTTGGCCATGAATACATGGAGGATTTCTTCAGTTGCTGTGAGTCAGTGTTGGCAGAAGATGGACTTCTTGTTTTACAGGTAATTATAATTTGAGCAGAAACAAAAGAATTAGTGCCTGTTAAGAAAGAATGAAGAACAAATAAATTTTTGCAGAGAAGCACTGTAATCACACTACAGTAGTTTATTCCACTAAGACTTATATTCAATGTATAAAGTCAGAAGACACATCAACCTTAGTGTTAGGTAAGCTAAATGAATTTACAAACACAAGTTGCAAAGAACTTGTCTGCCTCTTATCAGCTTAACAACAAGTATCATATGAAGCACATGATCTTCCAATAAGCTTTTAGCATTCAAAAGGGACCTTACGGTCCCAAAATTCCTTGAAGTAGGCTCAACTTCCTTACATTTTCAGTATTTAGCCATGATAATTGCTTAATTTGTTTTGTTTTCAAACACCTATGCTAATGGTTGGGGTGGTTCATGCATGTTTCTATTAGTTCATATCTATACCAGAAGAGCGCTATGATGAGTACAGGCGAAGTTCAGATTTTATCAAGGAATACATATTCCCAGGTGGATGCCTACCTTCATTGACTAGGATAACATCAGCCATGAGTGCTGCATCTAGACTATGGTATAATGCATTATTCCTTAGTAAAAATATCTGTAGATAGCCATTTTTTGTTTTTGTTGTAGTATCTATTTGGTTATATATCCAGAAAACTAAAGGAAAGTGTGCAATTGTAGTGTGGAGCATGTGGAAAACATAGGGCTTCACTATTACCAAACTCTTAGACATTGGAGAAAGAATTTCTTGGAGAAGCAGAGGTATGCCATTACATCTCTCTATCTGTCATGCAAAGAAGTTGATATAAATAAGACATTATTCGGAAATTATTCTTCGTAATTAACTGAGAACCTGCATCTTAATTCTGGGGCATTTCATATCTTGCTCTTTTAGCAAAATCCTTGCTTTGGGATTCAACGAGAAGTTCATTCGGACATGGGAATATTATTTTGATTATTGTGCAGCTGGTTTCAAGTTAAATACCCTTGGAAATTACCAGGTGAATTTCTAGCACTGGCACATATATTTTCTTGGAAACTATGGCTTGCAACGCCATCTAGGTATAATGGAGCTTCACTAACATTTGCAGGTTGTATTCTCACGCCCTGGAAATGTTGCTGTACTTGGCAATCCATACAAAGGTTTCCCTACAGCATCTTAAAATTCTTTTCGTCGTAAAAGGAGATACCGTACAATAATTACAAAGCAAATCAAAACTGGTGGAAAGCTTTCTTTTCCCCTTTCTTCTTTATTATTTCCACGATTAATGTATCCTACTCAATCAGCCATTAACATTTGAACTGATCACTACAAGTTTAGCATCATTCAAAATTTAAAAAAAAAAAGGAAAGAAAAGTCATTGGCCTATATATATATATATATTTGTCAGGGCATTGCCTAATATCTTTTACACGTGGCCTATATACTTTTTGGGGTGGTGGGGGGCATGCAATTAGGATAATTAACCTCATTATCTGCTTCAGACTTTTCTTTCATTGACAGTCAGACATCTGTTTCCTGTCTGTTTCCTATTTATTTTTTGATTAGTCAAGATTCGTTAATACTAGAATTTACATCAAGCTTTCAAGCGCCATGGTCACAAGCCAATAAACATTGGACAGCCATGGTCCTCCCCTGTTTCCACCTACAACAACGTGACTTGTACAGCCATCATTCCCTTCCCTTTGCCATGGATTTACATAAGTATACCCAAAAACCTTCCCCAAATGGGAAAATACAACATTGTGCCATACATTCAATCTTCAAATGATTCAGCCGCCATCGTTAAATCCAGACGAGAATCAGAGTCCCCAAAAACCCACTCTCCATGCAATGGTGCACCCGCGTTTGTCTTTATCTCTCCTACGTCCACCCTCAAGCCGATTCCAATGACTCTACCCTTCTTTGCCTACGCCAACTGACACCAAGATCATCAAATCATATTTTCAACGTTTGGTAGGCGTGACAACTTTTGACTTTCGTTGAGAGGTCAGAGAAGAAAAATAAAAATTAAAAAATTTTAAATTAATTCATTAAATTTAAAAATTAATAAAAAATTTTGCAATAAAAAATTTATATTATATAATGATTAAATATATAAAAAATTAAATAATGTAAATAAAAAAAGAGGATAAAAGAAAATTTTACACACTGTTTTATCTTGTCCAAGCTCATAAATTTATAAATTTTTTTAAAAATAAAATACGTTTCAATAATGTGTTACAAATAAAAAAGTAAAATAAAAAAAATTGAAAGACGGAAGTGGGGGGAACTTTAAAAATTAAGGATAAAGTTGGTAAAGTCTTATAATGTTATTTTATTTCAATTATTGATATTAATTATTAAATAAAAAATATTTTTAAAGAGTTATTAAAATATATATAATAAATCAAAAATTTTAAAAATTTTAGAGATCTGGACTCTCACAAATACATTATCCTTTGTCTTTAATTAAAATAAATTATTAATAAATAAAAAATTTTAAAAATTTTGAAGGGCGCGGTTCCCATAAATACCCCCACCCTCCGCCCCTTTACAGCCTCAATATGTACCCCTCATGCTAGCTACCCCGTAGTGTTTTCTGTCTTTTAGCTAGTTTGAATATATGTACCCCTTGCAGAGGAATAGAGTATGACTCTGGTATAATTAACTGTTGTTAGACACAATTTTATAGCTGGTTGCATTCCTTTTTCTACACACTATATATAACACTAAAGAATTCTACAAATGTAGCGTGGAGCATGTGGAAAACATAGGAAGCCAATACCACCGAACTGCGAGATGCTGGAAAAATAAGTTATTGGACAATAAGAGGTATGTCTTTGCACCTCTACTTACCTCATGGAAAGAAATATATATGGTCTAAGTTTGGCATGGTCCACCTTAGTTTGTTTGTATTGTTCAAGTACAAAGGATGTTATAACATTTGTGAAAATTTGTATATATTTTGATTCTGGGGCATTCGTTTTGGTTCTTACAGCAAAATTGTTGCTTTTGGATTCAATGAGGAGTTCATTCGAATGTGGGAATATTATCTTGATTATGTGGCAGCTGGTATGAATTCAAGGACACATTTGAATTATCAGGTAAAACTTCGTACACTCACTGCATCTCTACTTAATCCTATGCATGGAAATCAACAGTGGAGTTTCCCCCTCATTGTAGGTTGTTTTTTCGCGTCATGAATACCCTGCTGCACCCGGCAGTCCATACAAAGGTTTTTCTTCAGCACTAGACTGATTACTTCTCTGAAAGGGGACCAAACTTCTGCGTTGAAAGCAGGTCAAGCTGTAGCTACTTCTTTTCTCCTTTCTGTCTTTAAATTTACATCTATCAGCTCCTCTAAAGAGGAATAAATGGCTACAGTACGATATCATACATAAGATATAGTAGCCATAAGTTTCAATGAACTTGTTAAATTACATTCTGTTAGAAGCAAAAATATCTTTTGCCACATGAAGACTCTTTAAGATTTTATTGCACCGATGGAAGTACTTGGTCTTCAAAATCATGTATCTATTTTACACTGAAGTTTAATCACTCGTGACATAATTCAAATTAACAACTTGAGAAATTTGATATATACCAAACATAAAACCTCTAGACTAAAAGTTATGAAAACATAAATGATAAAGAATCTCTGATAACTAACAAATGCCTCGTTAATGAGAGCATAGCTTGATCCAAAGTGGTGGGGAGAATGAAGAACGCAAATCTGGCAATTTGTTATCGATGATATAGTCTGCCTTCTTATCATTACAATTGTAGATGCCTGTATCAGGGACGCTAGTCTAGGAATAAAGAAAATAATTGTTCTCAGTAAAGTAAATACAATTGGACCTGCAACCAAGGTGGTCAGCTGCTAAGACGGAGAAACTACAGCAATTCTCAAGAAACAAGGAGCAGTCACCCAACTACGAGATTTTCTCTCAATTTTTCATGTGCATGTCGAGCTTGAAAATCTTAAAACTCTTTTGTAATAATTGCTTGTCCAACTCTTCCATTATCATAATTGATCTAATATGGACAAACACCACGAGTAACCATACAAAGATTACCGTCCAAATCAACAATATGCATTTTTATGACCAAGATGAACTGCAGGTGGTGCTGCGAATTCAATAGTCTTTGGAAACGGTCCGTTTAAGTTTCTTCAGCTAAGAAGTTGCCTGGTACTACGAACTGTAATTTAATTTAATTTTTTAGAAATTACATGTTTATTTTATTAATTCAATTCAATGATGCATTTAATTTAATTTAATTTAATAATATTCAAATAAATAGAATTAGAATATGAAAGAGGTAGTAGGAATCGCTGCTTAGAAGGCTAAGGGTTATAGAGACTACATTCATCCTATCTATAGGTTAAATCTAATTAACTAATAGTATTGTAATATAACTCTACCTAAATTTAGTAACCTAATTAGATAATAGTATTGTATAATAACATTAATTAGATAATTTGTATAATTATCTTTAACAGTTTTCTATAATCATGCTGTCAAAAGTAAATATGGGTAGTTTCTTTAATTTAACTTCTTTTCAAGTGTAGCCTGATTTGTAAAATGTTGTTTAATTTAAACAATAAATGTCTATTCCCTTCGTGACTACCAAGAACGAACTTAGTTACAAAGAATTGAGAACATCAGCATACTTGTCGTCGGGCAGGTTTGATCACTACACATATTATCCTGCGAAAGCATTAACGAGCCAAAAGTACCCATGGAAAACATGGCGAGCCGTTTCGTCCTGGTTGCATGATGTGTGCACATAATTTTCCCTCTGCATTTCCTCCATTCCCCTCTTTGATACCCTGCTTCCTCTTGTTGCATAGCTGTTGCCTTTACAACTGACATGGCAGGAAGAGTCTGTGGAATGGTTGTTTCCTCTATTACACAATTTGGTTTGAAACGAAAATGCACCGTGTGGGATTAGACAAACCAGTTCTTTCTAAATGTAGAACAGTTTTATCTATTTTATTCAGATGGAATCCTAACTTTTATTATCATTTTTACCTACATTTATGAAACTGCAGCTATATACATTGATTGTATGTTTTCAATTCACTATCCCCTTTTTGATCCTTTTCGCCTTTCCTTTTGTCATGACATTGAACCCAAACATAGTCCATTTGTCTTTCATATTCCCTCTTTATTGTTCATTTTTATCTTATTAACTTTGAACGCTGAATTTGAATTGTCAAGATTGATATAACTGATATAATCTGCTTTGTGGCATCTTCATCATATTAGAGGAAGGAGCAACGGTTTTTACTTGTGAAGGAAATGTGACAAAGTGTTCACTTGAGGCTGTTGTGAAAGTGCAGAATCCCCAGTTTTATTGGAAGGTAGACCCTGTTAACTCTTCTTTCGGTACAATTGGTAAGGATAAGGCTAATGTTAGGCATGTTAGGCATGTTAGGCCAAGTCCCCTATCTTTCAATTCCTACTTTGTCAGTTAACTGGTTTTCCGTTCACACTTCTGTTAATGGCTAAGGATGGTTATCGTTTAATTTTTCCATACTTCATATCCATACCAGAAGAAGGCTAGGATGAGTACAGGCGAACTTCAGATTTTATCAAGGAACACATATTTCCCTGGTGGATGCGTGCCTTCCCTGAATAGAATAAGCTCAGCCCTGGCTGCTGCATCCAGGCTCTGGTAAAAGCCATCTTGAAATCAATAAATTGAAGTGCTGGAATACAGGTAGTGCTGTAAATGAAAAATTAATTTTTAAAATGAACAGTTAACTAATTTCATTAAATGTTTATAAAGTTACGATACAGGGTGAGACATTATCTTGGATTTTCATGCCTTGAAAATTCACTGTCCTCGGGGGCTCCATGCCAAGGTTTTTCTTCATCATACATTATGGAGATTGAAGAGTATTATTTTTGGAATGAAATTGCCATGTGAAACATGTGGGGAAGTCATTTATTTCTTTGTAATCTTTTTGTATTCTCTACCTAACCAATCAAGTCCGTTCGAATTATTTGAATTTGAACATATTAATATATTTGATTTAAATGATTTTTGAATTTAATTTAATTTTGATTTGTTTAATATTATTACTCGTATAAATAAAACAAAACAAAATGTATGATACTTATTATTTATAAAATTTTATTGAAAATTTTGAGTCAAACTTGTACTTGAGTTAAGTTTCGAAAAATCAAACTGAGTTTAAATACAAAAAAAAAAAACAAAATAATTCAATATCTTAGCACAAGCCTGAAGATTTTACAATGGAGAGCTGTAATTAAATTAATGAATTTTTTATAACATATATAAGATATATATTTACTTAATTTCACTCAATAGCCATTAATGCACATGAACAGCTGCTAGCTAAGCTTGCCAATTTAAAGGAAACAACTGCATGTGGTTCATTGGCAACCATCAAACTTTTCTTTTTTTTCGACTAAGTAGAAATTAATTTCAGTCAAGTTTTCCTGCAGGTTCAGCTTCAAGCCTCTTCAACATGCCCGCATTTCATAGTTTTCATTCTTTTTTAATCTCCATGGAAAATTAATTTTCACAAGGTTAGTTGAGATAGATATTGCAGGGTAGCAGGGAGCGAAAGGTGTTGCATGAATTGAAGTTGTAATTAGAGTTGGAAAGATGGGGTTTGCTGTGATCGGAGGTGGCATTCGAGGGCTGGTTTCGGCCTACGTTCTTGCCAAAGCAGGCGTTAACGTCGTGGTCTATGAGAAAGAGGACCAATTCGGTGGCCATGCCAAGACTGTCAACTTCCATGCCGTTGATTTAGACCTTGGTTTCTTGTTTCTTAATCCTGTAAGTTTCTCCTTCATCATTGCTTTTATCGTTCTCTTTCAATTAAACAAAACGATAAAAAAAATCATCATATTCTTATAACACCTGAGCATTTAAGTTATTGGTTAGTGTATAATCCTTGCTTAAAGAGTAGAGTTTGAATCCACTCACTCAATTATAAAAAAAAAAAATCATATTCTTATAATTAGATGTTGATCGAATATTTTTAGCTAGTCAACACTACTTGATTTTCTTTTTTTAATCTGACCTATTGATCAATATATAATTAACACATGCAAGACATGAAAAATAAAGTCAAATTATCAAGTTATTATCTATATTAATCAATATATATATATATATATATTTATATACTTCATAATAACTTAGATGACTTCCATAATAAGGGGAGCATAGTGTATTTAAACCTTGCTTTTACTTTAGACAAGATAGAATAAAGAGGAAATTGTGAAAAATGATCATTTTCATAATTTAATTTCAAAAATAGTCATCAAAATAAAATTAATTATTTTTAGTCATGTTTAGCTATGACTCAGACAAAAATATCCTGAAAATCATTTCAAATAAATTAAATCATTTATTACAATTTCTTCCATTTCCGTCTTTGCTTCCAATTTCTCTCTCTCATTATCTATCTCTCTCGATTTCTCTCTTCAACCTCCTCTGTTGTATTCTTGATTTTTCTCTCCCGTTCTTTTATGACGCCGAGAGATAGTTTTAATATACTTGGGGTGGGTAGTTATTTGAAAATTTTGATTTTTTTATGTTTTGGGTGAAACTAAAATGATAAAAATGATCACAAATTTTTAAAATAATTTTTAATTGAATCAATTCGAGACTTTGATATTAATAAATTTAAGAATTTGAAATTTATAAATCTAGACTTTCAAAGGAAATTTTTTTCGATTTTTAATTGAAATAGGTGTTGTAGATAAGAAAAATTATGTTTTGATTTATGAAAACATGTTAGAAACATTTTAATCGGTGCCAAATCGTAAAAGAAAAACAAAATAAATGAAGAGAGTTGAAAGGATTTGAAATTTTAGTTTATAGGTAACAACAACATTTCAAGCATTAAAATGTAACAAAATTTTTTAAACATGACGTGTAATAATAATATTTTTTCAACATGGCATGTAATAATAACATTTTTTTTCAACATAATGTGTAATATGTTTTTATATATAATGTGTAACAATAATTTTTTTTTTAACATGACGCGTAACAATATTTTTTTAACAATGACGTGCAACATGTTTTTATATATGACGTGTAATAATAATTTTTTTGAAATATGAAGTGAAATAACTTTTTTTAATCATGACATGTAATAATAATATTTTTTTAACATGATGTGTAATATCATGTGCGCGACATATAACATCATGTGTATTTGATATAAAAAAGTTTAGAACATAGTGTGAAATATATTTTTATATATGACGTGTAACATCATGTGCACTTGATATAAAAAGGTTTAGTACATAAAGTGAAATGTATTTTTATATATAACTTGTAACATCATGTGCACTTAATATAAGAAGGGTTTATTAAAAGTAATTTTATCTAAATTGATTAAAAACAGTTAAAATTATAAAAAAATTATTTTTAAAGCTTATTTTTTAAAATGTCCATATAATAAATATGAGCAAGTTGCCCAACCTTAAGGTTGGACTCCTTCGAATTGGTCTAGTCACACAACCCAATAGCTAAGCCCACTATGCCCTCTTTTGTTGGATTTTCTTTGGAAATCGGAACATCATTTGGCCTTTATTTTGGGCTAGTAAAAAGGGGAAATTAATTTGATGTGCTTTGGGTAAACTTAACAGGCAACGTATCCAAGAATGTTGGAGTTGTTTGATATACTTGGAGTTGATGTGGAGGCATCCGACGTGTCATTCTCTGTCAGCCATGACAAGCTAGGCCATGGTTATGAATGGGGCACCCAACATGGTTTTTCAAGCTTGTTTGCACACGGAAAGAACATGTTGAACCCCTACTTTTGGCAAGTCCTTAGAGAAATTATGAAGTTCAGGGATGATGCCATTAGGTGAATCTTTCACTTTTATTATATTACCTCTTCAGTTTTCACCTTGTTGCTTTCTTAGAACTGAAAGTTTGCTGCATTGGTTTCTATTGCAGTTATCTTCAAATGCTTGAGAACAATCCAGACATTGATCGCAATGAAACCTTGGGGCAGTTTATAAAGTCAAGGGGTTACTCTGAAACATTTCAGAACACTTTTCTTGTGAGCTGCCGAAGAATTTGCATATATTTCATCCAACTTTCTTGAGCTTTTGTTAACCCAATTATTGGAAATGAATTAAGATTTTGAAATGTTTTCAGGGTCCCATATGTGGTTCAATATGGTGCTGCTCCACACAAAAAGTTATGAGCTTTTCGGCCTTCTCCACTCTTTCACTTTGTTGCAGTCACCATATGTTTCAGGTACTTTTTATTTTGTTTTTCAAAAAATAGGAACTACCATAAAGTGAATATAATGAAAGCTATACCTATCATCTTGCACACAGTCTCGTCTTCCTGTCTAAAAGCCGTTGTAGTTTTCATGCCAAAATAGATTTTTTATTTTTTGATTTGTTGATTATGTTTGCATTTCCATTTGTAGCTTTTGGGGCGTCCACAGTGGTTGACTATCAAAAGGCATTCATATTTTGTGAAAAAGGTGCACATTTCTAGCTTCTTGAACTGCTCCAACTCCCCTATTCATCTTATTTGTGGAATAGGTTGTTTAAAACAGTATAGAACTTGAAGTCCTTTAGCTGTACGCTAAGTATATTTCCAACTCGTTTTTGGTAATAACAAAATCAGGTTAGAGACATTTTGGAGAGTAGAGGTTGTCAGTTGAAACTTGGTTGCCAAGTACATTCTGTTGTGCCTGCTGATAATGGTGAGTACTTAAAAACTTTATCATATAGCTTTTCTCTGTTAAGTTTTATGTCAGTAAAATTTTGCTGATATATTGGATAATATCGGCAAAGTAAATCTAAACAAATAATGTGACAGAGAAAGGAAAATGAAAAGTGAAAACCATCTGTGATTTGATATGTATCCCAGAAATATGACATTTTTTTTCTTTGAGCATCGTCTTGCAAACTTTAGGCATTGTCATTTGGATGCAAGGCATTTTCTTTATCAGCAATTTTATGGACCTTCAATGATAACTGTGAAAAGGGGTTAGCAGGTAGCATCATAGTATGTGGAGACGGCTTCCAAGAAACATACAATGGATGCATAATGGCTGTCGATACTCCCTTGGCCCTGACATTATTAGGAAACCAAGCAACATTTGAAGAAATGAGAGTACTGGGTGCATTCCAATATTCTTCCAGGTTCCAGAATATATGCTTTTGTGCCTACATCTCGAAATTTATATGCATTCTAATCTATCACAACTTCTGATAACAAGGTTCATATTGTTATAGATGACAATAAATCGAATTTTGGTCCTGTCAGAGCATGGTACACTTTCATATACTGAAGAACTATGATAATATCTGATGGCTTTTGCAGATTAAATGCTCTAGAACAAAATTTCAACGGGAAAAACAACATCATATTGAAATTCAAATTAGTACATGTTGATTTGATCTCCTTTAGTGCACCATACTTTAAAGATTACTACTTCGTTCCTTAACTTGTTGATGGAAAGGCTACTAAGGTGTATGAAACTCTGATCATTGCTTCTGTTGGCAGTGATATTTTCCTTCACTGCGATAGTAATTTAATGCCCAAGAATCGATCAGCATGGAGTGCACTGAACTTAGAAGTAGTGAAGACAAAGCATGCTTAACATGCTGGCTAAATGTGCTACAGGTTTGCAACAAGTTCTTTGCATAAATTAGATTTTAAAATGATTTAATGATCTAATTATTATAACCTCTAATTGCAGAATGTTGGGAAAACAAGTCTGCAATTTTTTGTGACTCTCAATCCACACCATACACCAAACAATACCTTGCTTAAGTGGTCAACTGGCCTTTTAATTCCCTCTATTGCTGCATCAAAAGCTTCACTAGAGCTTGATCAGATTCAGGGGAAGAGAGGAATCTGGTTCTGTGGTGAGATTTTTCTTCATAAAATTAATAGATGAATATACGGTGACTATATCTTTAGGTTACATCTAAGGGTATTATGTTTGAAGATGAGAAAGCATCATATCAACTGAATCTCATCTGAGTATTTGTTTACAATTTTTCCAGGCTATGACTTCCTTGAGGACAAATTCAAGGTAGCTACTACTTAGATTCTGCTAATATTATTTAACAGTTTACTTTTCTTGCAGTTAGGGAAATGCTTTTAGTATAAGCTGCAATGCTAACTACAACTTCAATATCAGCATATGAAATTTACATTCAAGTGAAAGTTTCCTGCAATTCAATTTTTCTTAGTGTCATTATCATATTTCAATAATTTATTGAGCCACTGGTATCAGTTCTCAACTGAGGATCACTTCTTCTATCAGGCTGGTATGGTTGCTGCACATGGTATCTTGGGAAAGCATTCATCTGTTCTGAACAGTCAAAGGCACTTGTCGCTCTCTTTCACGGAAACAGGGGCACGTCTTGTTGTAACTAAATTCTTTCAACAATATATTTCCATGGGCTGCGTAATGTGAGTTCTAAAAAATAATTGCATCTTTCTTATTTCCAGTTTAATACCTAGCTTCTAGTTTGTTGTACTGATTTTTGCATTCTTCTTGAATAGCAAGGCATCCTACCAACTTGTATTTGTTAGTTCTAATCAATTTGGTTTCCATAAATGATACAAACTGCTGATTGTTTCTTGACTTTAAACCGTCTCTAGTCTCAAGCGTCCTCGTCTCAACACTCATTAACTTCCATATTCACTGTATGTGTTGTTGATTTGTCTTTTGGCATGAACACTGAGTTTAAAATGTTATATATGGTGGCATTGTTACAATGTTCCATGTCGCATTAACAGTTTATTAGAGGAAGGAGGCAGAGTGTTTACTTTCAAAGGAAGCATGGAAAAATGTTCCCTTAAAACAGTTCTGAAGGTGCACAACCCACAATTTTACTGGAAGGTAGACAGTCTTTAGTCCTAGTTCACGTTTGACATTTGATTTTCATTGTAACTGAATGACATATCAAGTTAAATTAGTTGTTAATTTAAAAAATAAGGTGCACAAACCTTGGCATGGTTCTGACAAGCATTATACGTGTTATGTCAGATTATGACAGAAGCTGACTTAGGCCTTGCAGATGCATTTATCAATGGTGATTTTTATTTTGTTGATGAAGAAAAAGGTCTTCTGAATCTTTTCCTGGTAAGAAAAGGTTAGCCAAATCTGCTCCTATACATATTTTTGTACTTTATCAGAATCTTCATTGATTTGTTATGCAGATACTCATTGCCAACAAAGTCTCAAAGTTTTCTGCCTCACGACTGAACAAAAAAAGTTTCATTATAACTTGGAGAAGAATCTAAAGCTGATACTGGTACAATCTATTAATAAATTCAGTTTATTCAGCATTGACACTCAATTGGTTGTAGTGGTTGGTGGTCACCTGCACTGTTCACGGCTGGTATAGCTTCTGCAAAGTATTTCTTTAGGCACGTCTTAAGGCAAAATACTCTTACACAGGCTCGTAGGAATATTTCTCGTCATTATGATCTGGTAGGTAGTAATCCTAAATTCATGGAATTAGATCAACATAGTCACCCTCTACAATATTGTTGTTATTTTTATTGTATCACTATAAGCGTTTTTGATTAACTCTTCCACAAGGAATGAATCAATGGCCTTGGACATTTTACTTTCATGTTTGGCAACTACTTCTGTCTCTTTTGGTATTACCTGGTTCTGGCCATGAATTACATAATTTGCACTTGTATAAGAATGTCATCTAAAGACAAGAAAAGATTAATCCTGTATAAGCATCATGGTCCTTGATGGTGAAAATCTATATACACCTAGCTTTATCTGCCGAAATAACCATCCAAGCAGAACTAGTCCTTCGTAAAAGTCACAGACTGGATAACACACTATGATGTCATAACCATAGCCTCATTCTTAGGATCTTCCTCACTTACAGCTAGGGCTTGTACATTACTATGGATTATAGGTTTTAAAAGTTCTTTTTTTTTTGTTTTTGCATCATTAACAATACAGATCTTAGAGGAATAGTTTGAGGTGTTAAAGTTGCACTGTTCATTGTCAGACGTTAGTTGGGATCTTGATTCAATATTGAGAAACGAAAGGGAAAATTTTCATGAAAACAGTACTCACAATTTCCTCTGCTATGACCTTGTCAGTTTTAAGTTGATGGCATTCTGCTGAAGTTATAATAAGAAAAATCACTTTGAGCCTCGACGCTAAAGAATTTCCTTGGTCACAAAACTTTAGGTCCTTTGTTCAGGACAACTATTTGCAACAGGATTTCTTAGATGAAATCTTACTAACTCCTCCCAACTTCTTTGCAGAGTAATGAGCTTTTTGCTCTATTCTTGGGTGAAACAATGCAATACTCGTCTGGAATTTTTAAGGTCAAGATCCCAGTTTCCATGATTTTGCTTGAACACTGCATGAACAAGAGAATCATCTCCTTGTTAATTATGTTGGGACCTTAACTTCTAACATGATGATGCTCATATCAAATTATTTTTATAGACTGAAGATGAAGACTTGAAGGTTGCACAGCAAAGAAAAATCAGTTCTCTAATTGATAAAGTGAGAATTTATAGTGGTCTCGTAGTATTCTTTTTCCTTGCCGTTGTTATTTATTTGATTCTGAACCTGTCTGACATGTATATAGGCAAGAATAGAGAAGCAGCATGAAGTTCTTGACATTGGAAGTGGTTGGGGAAGCTTTGCTATTGAAGTTGTCAAAAGAACTGGATGCAAATATACTGGAATTACTTTATCAGAGGAACAACTGGAATTTTCAGAAGCAAAAGTGAAGGAAGCTGGACTTCAGGTAATGATAGTGGTGGCCTGAAAATAATTGTGTTGATATCTACCTCAGGTTCTTTATTTAACTTGCTTTAAAAACTTAACAAATCCTGCTATCAGGACAACATCAAATTTCTTCTCTGTGACTATCGCCAGTTACCCAATACCTGCAAATACGATAGAATCATATCCTGGTAAGTTCTTCCCACAATAAATCTATATCATATATTCACATGAAAACTAATGCCAGGATTTCCAATTGCTTTCTCCAGTGAGATGATAGAACATGTTGGCAATGAATATATTGAGGAATTTTTCCGATGCTGTGAGTCTGCATTGGTTGAGGATGGGCTTTTCATCCTTCAGGTAATGATGAAATGGGAACAACAGAAACTGTGCCTTTGTGTTACCTTACAAGGTTCTAGCTGTTGGTGCTTTATTGTCTTTTTCTTTTTTGGCCGAGTGTTGGTGCTTTATTGTCCATTTAAAATTAGGCCAAATTACTTTTCAAAAAAAAAAATTAGGCCAAATTAAATGACTCAGATATTTGGTTAACTTTAAAAAATTGCTAATGGTTTAAGAGTGGTCTTCTGTTCTCAGTTCATATCAATGCCAGAGGAGCTTTTTGACGAGTACACCCAAAGTGCAGGCTTTGTGAAGGAATATATCTTCCCTGGTGGATGCCTGCTTTCTCTGAGTAGGATTTTATCGGCCATGGCTGTGGCATCCAGACTCAGGTAACAACCACTGTTTTTGACAGAACATTATAGTTCAGTCTTAGTTTTTCTTTGTACTGCATCCTTTTTTTGCCTGCAAAATTAATTGAAGGATTTTGAGTGCAGTGTGGAGCATGTGGAAAATATAGGATCTAATTATTTCCAAACACTGAGATGTTGGAGAAAAAATTTCTTGGAAAATCAGAGGTACTTTTATGACCTTTCTTAATATCACACAAGTGCTTATTTAAGATTAGCATGAAGAAATGTCTTGTTTACTTTAATGAAGCTTTTCCCCCATCATTTGTGCTGTTTTCTGACAAGGTTATGAGAGTAAATATGTTTGATGATGATATATTCATCCTTGTTCTCAGCAAAATTCTGGCTTTGGGGTTTGATGAGAAGTTCATGAGGACATGGGAATATTATTTTGATTACTGTGCAGCTGGTTTTAAATCTCGTACGCTTGGAGATTACCAGGTAAGTTTCTTGAAATAGCAGAAGATTAGTTGCTATGTGGAATGTGGATATCTGTTACATTTTGACTGTATCTACTTGAAATGTGTTAATGCTCAGTACAAGTGGGAAAATATTTGCATGCGCCAAACTATTGCACTCCTTAATCCTTAATCATATATATACTCAATTATTGTTTATGCTTGCTTATTACTCATAGTTCAGTACAAATAAAAACTACAGAATTTAAGATAATGGATATTAAGAAAAAGATTCCTTGGTACTGTAAATGATATCGTATAACGCTTAACTAATGTTGGCTTAAAACTCAGCTGAATTTCGTCTATGTATATTGTAGGTTGTATTTGCACGGCCTGGAAACTTTGCTGCACTTGGCGATCCATACCAAGGTTTCCCTTCAGCATATTCATATTGACTCAACCAGGATCAAACTACTGCTTCTTCTGCTTATGTCTAAATCTCTCTCCCCACTTTGCTTGTACGCTTTGTTGTAACAGAAGAAATCAAAGCAAATAATATCTGTCGTCTGTACTTGGTACACTCATTGGATGATTGTAGTATACATGGAGTCTTTCAATAAAGTCTTCTTGTCTTGACAATTGAGGTAAAAGCGTGCATGATATTGATTGCTTTGTACTTTTATACCATCCATATATCCACTAAAGCGGGAAGAAGGAATATCAGCTGGAAAGTTGGTATTTTCACCTCTGATATCCATAGTCAACTACATTTTAACATATAGTTTTGGGACAATCACAGCTCAAGTATGATTTCGAATAGAGTCAGAATGTATACCCAATGCTTCAGCTACTCACGAGATAAGCCTTCTGAAATATAATTCAAAGTAACCCCATGACTTTGATTAATGGCAAAGATATCACATGGCTAATACCCCCTCATGGATCATGTAAGGATTAAAAAATTGTTTCAAGTCTCATCCTTCTCAAGTTATAATCAATTAAGAAACAAATGCAACTTCCTACTCATTAAGAAACAAATGCAACTTCCTTATAATCAATTAATTTCTAATTAAGCATGTTTTTCTGATTAGTGTGTGCACATGTTAATTACGTGAAATCCATTCGACATGTCATCATACAACATAGTTAACGCACAAGAAAAGTGCCACACATGCCAAATTAATTTAATGCAAATAATAATTGACAAGAAGATTGCGCATCCTATCCAGATCAGAAAATAAGAAAACAAATATCCCAATTATGATATACAGAAAAGAAAGGAATCAAGCAACTTTGCTTCATTTCACACCTCTCATTTATCTCCTAGGCACTAACTTATTCTTTGGTCATATATATATATATA